AGAAGGAAAGGAAAGGAAAGGAAAAAGAAAAAAAAGGGAAAGGGAAAGGAGAAAGGAAAAGAAATCTTCACAGAAATTTCACTTAGTATGGCTGAATCTCATTCCCGGGTTCCTTGTCCCAGCTGAACAAAAGGCTCTACTGGAGGTAGAGAACAGCACAGTGGCTTACATCACTGGCTCTGAAGGCTGCCCATTTAATGACTGGATGTTCTCAGGAAAGTAACTTCATCCCTCTGTACTTCAGCTAGCTCACATGTAAAAAGACAACCATACAACAGTACTTTCCTCTTCAGTTTGATGGGAGAATTAAGTGAGCTAATATGTGGAAAATGCTTAGACTAATACCTGATACATTAGAACAATTCAAAAATAAAGCAATGCAGACACAACAAATTACCTCTTCTCCTCCTTCATCTACTAGTGTCCAGTTCCCAGATGCAGGTCCTGAACAGGATGGCTTCCACTCACTTGGCTTCATATGGCACATAAACTCTGCCCGATTTCTAAAGGACAAAGGAAATGACTCCAATTGCATAAACACAGAAAGCCCCAATGAGTGCATTATAAATCTAGTACACACCCCTTAAATACCTTAAAGGAATAAGAACTACTGAAATCAAGAATATTAAAACCTCACCAACTTGTGTAGAGAGATCACAATTCTGAGTTAGTAACAAAGCAACTGCAGTAAAGCAGTTACTTTATTACTAGTAAGTTCTCATTCCATGGTGACACAATACATATGAACTACCAGGAGTAGTGGGACATGCCTGTAATCTCAGCTATCTGGGAGCATGAGGCACAAGGTTCTCAAGTTCAAAGTCAGCCTGGACAACTTACTCAGACCTGGTCTCCAAAAAAAAAGTTTCAAGAGCTGGTGTTGCAGCACAAATAGTTACAGCCCTGACCTAGCACAGGTTCAATCCCTAGTACATGAATGTCTATCCAGCAAGAGATAGACAGACCTGGATTTCTAAAGTACCTTTACTCAGACCAGGCTTACAAAATGTTACTGGAGAGAGATGTTTAAGCAATGTGCTTTACTGAATTTAAAAAAAAAAAAGAGTAATCCTAAGGTAATGCAGAGGCTTAAGCCCCAGAGCAGATATCAATGCAGAACATCTGTGAGTGAAATCATACTACCATATGATGGAGCTGCCACTGTACACAGCCAGTAAGGGAAAGGAAGAATTCCTACCAGCCAACTTTCTCAAGCCATTGAGATATGAGCAGATATGACTGAGACAGTTTCTGTTCAATCTTCTCTTCTTTTTGCTCTGAAAATTCAACCATTCTGGGTATCTACCCAGAAACTTTTCTGTCTAGTTTTATAGCTCTAATACTGTACTTTCAAGTAGACAAGTGCCAATTACTGGTACTTCTGTATTCCTAGGTATGTGGCACTTGTATGTTTTCACTTATGAACAGTTTATCAGTGACCTTAAACTTTTCTCCCTACAAAGCAGGTCTTCTTTCCTTGCTATTACTGCTGCAAATGCCCTCCAACCCAAACTCAAAAATCTAGTTATGTCTGACCCATTCTTTTCCTACATTATTTAATCAGCTACTAAATATTTTCCTGGAAAGATGAAAATATTTTCCTGGAAAGATGAAATTTGGGTTCCCCTCCTACTACTATTACCCTAAAGCAGGTTGGGAGGTAGATAAGACTTCCCAGGCCATGAACAGTGCTTGTAACACTGTTCAGGGTTGCCTTTATACAGACCCTGCCTTCTCCCCAGCCAAGGACATGCTCTCTTGAAATCAGATTGGTTTCCTGGGACAGGAGAGACAGATGTTTGTAATCATCTTAAGAAAAACCACATGTAAGCAGACACAGGGGCCAGGGGTTCGATCCCCAGGCCTGCCATGCTGGCCTGGCCCCCAGGGTACGCTGAGATGGCAACTGAGACTGGGCATGGTGGTGCGCACCTATAATCCCAGCTCTTGGGAGGCTGTAAACAGGCAGATCACTATGAGTCCAATCTAGTAGTAAGACCCTGAACACCCTGTACACCCTTCCCTAAAAATACAAAAATAAAAAATAAAATAAAGAAAGAAAAAGAAAACCACATATTCTTCTGCCTCTGTCCATCCTAATTTTCCTAAAATACAACTTTTACCCCTACTGAAAAACCCTCCACAGTTACAAAGGCCCAACCATCTCAAATCCAAATATTTCTGCCTTAAAGACCTTCGATTCTTTAACCAACCTAGTTATTCAGCTTTCTGATCACCGCCTGAACACACCTGTCCTCAGTCCTCTGTCCAGCTAGCCAACTGGTACTGGGACCTTTGTTCATACTCTTCTCGGCACCTACACACTTCCCTGATCTTTTTCTCTCACTGAAAGGCAACCCACTCTTCAAAGCTTGTACATCTACGATAGAATCCTCTCTGCCCAACTCTTTATTCTCTCACTGCTATTGCTATAATCACAGATTTATACTTTGGCACTTCAATTTCCCTGTCCCCTCATCCTTGTCCAGCACCAAATAATTTCTTTTAAGGAACATATCATTTCTTTTGTCTGTACCACCTTTTACAATGACATATATAAGAAAAGCGATGAACCCACTAAAAGGGGAAACTAAGTTAAAAGGGAACTTTTAGATAGGTTACCAAACTGAAAGAAAATCTGCAATGTTAAGTCCTACATTGCTGATATTTCCCTTAGCAATTCTTCTTTAGCTCTAGACAAATAAAGAAGCCAGTAGTTTGCTAAAACACAGCATTTCAATTTCTACTTCACAAAACCCTTCCACACTTACTTGACAGGAGACATCAGCAGGGCAAGGGACTGCATGAAATGAAAGACCCCTGATGGGCTGTTCAACACTTTGATCTGAAATCAGCAAAGGAAAGAGAATACTGTAGAACACCACAATTCAAGTGTCCATAAGCTTATTTCACAAGTGCTCTAACAATAAAGTCGCTGTCAGGAGAACAAAGCTGAATCTGATCCTAATCCGTAAGAGTGAGACACAGCTCATGGATTACCTGGCATCACTGCTTCAGCTACACTCAAAGAACACAGACAGCTAAGCAATTTAGACCAATTACCTATAACACAAGATTTGGACAATAATGCTACCTTAATTGGCCCTCGCCTGTAATCCCAGTTCTTGGGCGGCTGTAAACAGGCAGATCACTACGAGTCTGATCTAGTAGTAAGACCTTAAACACCCTGTAGCCTCTCCCCTAAAATACAAAAAAAAAAAAAAAAAAAGAGAGAGAGAAACAAAACAAAACAAAACAAAAGCAAAATTCCCCTTCATTTTTATTTATCTTTTTAATCTTTTATTTATTTGGTACAGGATCTCGCTACACAGCTCAGACTCGTACTGATCCTCCTGTCTCAGCCTGCCCAGTGCTGGGATTGCAGGTATGCACCTCCATGCCCAGTTTCGGTGGCCAGCACAGCATGCTGCACTAGAAATGGAAACTACTAAAATAGGTGGGTCCTATTTTACCCATACCAAGAGTAGTATGAAATGAATTAGTTTAGGTAGCTATGCTCAAGCACTTCAGAAAAAATAGCCCCAGCAAGCCTTCCCACACAGAAAGCATACAGAATTAAGTACTACTAAAACTACCAAGCCAAACTACAGCTGAACATTTTCAATTCTGTCATAATCTCATCAACTACTGCAGGTGGCCCAAGAAATTTCAGCAAAGTATCTCCTACAGATATACAGATCTATTTCAGTAACACTATCAATAGTTTTAAGCAGTTTCTTTAGGATAATCATTACTACAACTTTCACCCTAGTCCCTCACAGTCAGAAAGAAACAAGTCTTACCTGGATGAAAGGTACAGCCCACTTACTAACACCAGCAGGGCATCGAAGAATATGGTTTAGGAGGAAGAGGTGATCTCCAGGACAGCCAACTCTTTGTAACACGGAAACCTGAACAATAAAGACCTCATTGCTTTAACTAATTTAAAAGAAGAATTTATCTCAGTATCTAAAACTATTTACCCCATATTTAAGTACCAGCAATCACAGAATAGCCAAACATAATATACACTATTTACACCAATATACTCACTGGTTGAGTTTCTACCACAGAGGTCCATAGAGCACTATGACTATATGATAAAAATATCCTAAGCAGTTCCTATGCAAGTCTAATTTTTATTGTCTGGCAAATTACAAAGCCTATGTAACCAGCCATATGTGGCTAGATAAAGATCAAGTAATTTACTCTTTTTATTTGGCAATAATTCCTCAGGTCCAAATGAGTATGGCTAGAACATCACCCCATGTTCAACAACTCTAGCTGAACCCAAGAAAACACACAAGGAAGCCCTATGAAAAAACAGAACCAATAAACAAATACCCACTCCCTCTGCAACACAACTAACATTGTTCTTAAATTCTCCAAATTCTGACACCCATCCTCTTTTCTCCTAAAAAAATTTTCGACTTTAGACTAAGTTTAACATTAAATATGTGATGTAAGAAAGAATATTATATGCAAAATGTGCTTAAATCAGATGCTTATTTTGTGACAGAGCACCTAATCTTCTGTCTGGCATATTTCTCAACTGCCTTTCCTTCTAAAGTTGAACTCTGAGCTGAAGTGGTATGTTTACTAACATACCACTCACTACAGAAGAGACTTTAGGCTCAAGAACACACTGGATAAACAACTACATGTTATGATCAAAGACAAGTCACTAACTCACTAAATGAATTAGCTGAAAAAGCTACTAAAGACAAAAATATAGCAAAATAAGAGAGAATTCTTAAATTACTAGGAAAATCAAAGGTCTACTATGTCTGTTTCTGTATCCTTACCAATTTTTGCAGCCAGAGAAGAATATCATCATAGAACTGAGTGTCTTCATTTACTCGCCTGGTAAACATAAACAAGACACTAATGCACTCCTTCAAGTGGCACAGATCAGAGGGAAGGCTTTCTGTTGGTTTAGAAGCTATATAAAACAGAGAAATAAATGAGTCCCACATAAATGATCTTGGGGGAGGAATTTTGGTGTTTTCATTTAAACAAAACAATTTAAAATGTTTAGTTCAAACAAAAATCAAAAAAAGGAAAATAAGTTCCATCAAGATATTTGAATTTCTAACCAGGCTTGGTGGCTTGTACCTATAATCCTAGCTACTCAGCAAACTCGGTAAGAGTCCTAAGACACTGTGTCAACAAGGTAAGAATTGCTGAAGATGTAGCTCAGCATTCTCTGTTCAATCCCCAAGACCAGCAAAAAAAATCCAAAAAAGTATTTTAATTTCTACTAGGTAAGTATTTCAAAATAAAAGAAACTAAACTTACACAAAGTAAAGAAAGGGGAGCTGAATTTTTACTTTTAAAGGACCCTAGTATCTTTCCCAGAAATAAAAACTGCATAATTCCTTAGCATGTTTCCATCAGCTGGAATCACGAGGGGCACCTACATGAACATCTAAGCAGGCAACTTGTACCCCTGGTGGCATAAATAGATCCAAATAGATTCAATTTTTTCTTGGTTTGTTTTTTTGTCTTTTGTTTTGTTTTTTAGGCAGGATCTTGCTATCTAGTTCAGGCTGGCTTCAAACTCATTATGTAGCTTTGCCTGACTTTAAACTTAGGGTGATCCAGGGGCTGGGGAGATGGCTCAGTAGAGTAAGTGCTTGCCTGGAAAGCACAAGGGCCTGAGTTCAATCCTGGTTCCACAAAAAAAAAAAAAAAAAGAAATAAACTTAGGGTGATCCTCCTGTCTGAGTACACTCGAAGTGCTAGGATTATAGGCTGCATCACCACGCCAGTAGAGACATCACTTTTATCAGTCTTTTACCAATAAAATTAATAGAAAATCTATATAAATGGACCAAATCTAGTTGGTTGAAACTGCGTAATTATTGCACAAATATAAGTATTAATAGCACTCACAGCAATTAGAAGTTATTGCAAAAGTGAACAAATTTGTTTTATTAAGTTAAAAGAAATCTGTATTTGTGATTAAGAAGAGTATTTTATACATAAAGGCAGCTGATTTGTTCAGAGTACAAAAAATACTACAACAGCCAATGTTTGGCTGTTTTTATAGCTACAGTGGCACCTATATTTTTAGATCATTTTCAGTAACATTCTCTTCATTGTTTACCTGCACTTCTTGCTGATCCTAAATAAGCTTTTATAAACTGAGTGCTTTGTCAAGTAATTGGCATACATGACATTTTTTCATGGTTAATGTTTTATCATTAATTAATTCTAGGGACTGGGGAGATGGCTCAGTAGAATAAGCGCTTGCCTGGCAAACGCAAAGGCCTCAGTTCAATCTCCAGCTCCGCAAAATAAATACACAAACAATAATTAATTCTCTAAAGTTTACCACATAAGTCTTCCAAGTATCTATTACTGATATACGTAATATACATTTACAACTGCTCTATCACAATTGGCTGTATTATAATTTTTATATCAAAATGTTTTAAGGAACTATGATTATATCTGATCTGCTAAATCAATGCCTTTCTTTGCATTATTGTAATTAGAGACATGCTGAGATGCAATACAAGCCACCCAATGGGACAGTCAGGTATGCACCACCAGTGGTTTAAGCCACTTAACAGGAGAGGTGACTCAAATCAGGGCTACCTGACAAGAAGATATACAAAATTATGGCACTGTCATAAATGTGTTAAAACATAAAGATGAAAAGTTTAGATCATTACAGATCCCCCATTAAGCAGAATAGTCCAACAAGCTAGACAAGCAAAAATGACACGCTAGAAAGAGAGGATGAACAAGTATTCTAAGTTTTAAAATCTAACTCTATTTGGGTCAGGTGTGGTGGCACAAACTCATAATCCAGGCACTTGGGAGGTAGGAGGCTGAGGTAAGATGATCATTCTGAGTTCAAGGCCACCACAGGCTATATATGTGAATTCAAGGTGAGGCTGTACTACATGAGGCCCCCACCTCAAAAAAATGGTTTCTATACTCTACTTGGTAACACAAAATATCAAGTACATAGAACATCAAGGAACATTACTAATAAGTGAGGTTTTGGCATCCTAGTAAAGCAGAGAATGACAGCCATAAGGAAAGGAGGCTTAGCACTGCTCCCAAAAAAATATCTCTAAGACAGATCAATTAGACCTGGAAAAGGCAATATTAAACTACAAGCACAATTTATATCTTGTAAGATCAACTGGTATAGTCAACTAAAACAGTTTGTGCACAACTATATTTTTCCATTTCATTCAGTACTAAGAAAGGATCAGCACTCCATTACTTTACAAACCTTGGCCTTGTTGATGAATTGCTAAAGATCTCAGAACAGCTGAGCTATTGAGCAAGGCGTAGATGTAGGACTCCACTTGCAGCCTCGAGAGCACAGAAGTGTAAGAATGAAGGGCCATGATTTGGTGGAGGTGTTCAGATTTGGCGTCAAATAGCATCTTCAGCTCCTCCAGTGCATTTTTATTCATCTCTACTCTCTGGTAGCGATGATAGCCCGAAACTTTCACTTGATCTGCACAGATACCCTATCAGTGAATAAAAGGGTAAAATATGAAACCTGTACTCTTTGCATTTCAAGCAATTGGGCAGTAGGTATGTAACATACAGGTTTTGGTATCATTTCCAAAGAGTTATTAATCATAAGGAAGGGACAACACTACTGTGCAAGAAATATCAGCGAATAAATAAATGATCCATGTGCCACAGAGACCACTGTCAATTACAAACACATCTTTAGAGACAAGTAACACTAAGAGTCAGTGAGGAAAGGTACAGGAAAACAACAGAGGCGTGTCCCTAAGACTCTCATATTAAAAAAAAAAAAAATCTTACTATATTTTATGAGCATTGAGGCCACTATGATATTCCTTCAGCTTCAAGTTACCTCAAAAGATCTCTGGGCCTACCCTCATTATTCTCTGCAGTTCTGCTCAAAAGAAACCTCCAACTGGTATAGCAGTAGATCCCTATAATCCCAGGATTCAGAACACTAAGGCAACAGGATCACAAATCCAAGCCAGCCTGCACTACAGAGAGAGACAGTCTCAAAAAAAAAAAAATAAATAAATAAAGGAGGGGGGAGAGAAACTTCCCTCCTGTCTAATACTAATTCCTCCAACTCTGTTCTTGATTCTATCCTTTTTTTCAGTATTTCCAAATGTTTCCCTCTCCGCTCTCTCCTTCCTATATACAAAGATGTTTTCCAACGATGATAGTTAGAACCTCCAACACCAAGCTTCTCAAGAGTGATCTTTTTTTTTTTTTTTTTTTTTTTTTTTTTTTGCAGAACCGGGAATTGAATGATCTTGGGGCAGGGGCGATAGCTCAGTAGAATAAGCACTTGCCTAGCAAGCACAAGGGCCCCGAGTTCAATCCCAGGTTCTGCAAAAGGGGAAAAAAAAAAAAAAAAAGAATGACCTTCTCTTCTTTGCCAACCTTCCTAGGTCACTATAAAATGATATTATCCTCCACAGGATCTCACCTGAAGAATTTCCTTGTTTCATCTCTCAGCCTTAACACTCTCCACCCATCAGACATCTGTGGCATTAAAATAAATGATATAAGGGCTGCGTTTGACCTGGAAACATGCCATTCTGGCTTTGACAGCATATATGTGCTAGTAATTGCTTACACTGCCTATTAGTATCTCTTACACAGAAATCCAGTTTTCTAGTTTCTTTAGGAAAATACAGCAATCCTGGACCATCACAACCTCACAGCTACTATCTGCCAGAACTCAAGAACACCTGCCCCCAGTAAACCAAGCATGAGCTTTCCCAGTGACCCTTGTCCTACTCAACCTGCTTCACTCCCACAGGTACAGGTCCTGCCTTTCCATTTGATTGTGTAAAGCCTGCACTACTCTGGCCTAAGATGTGGTTAGTGTGGGTACAAGGAGCAATGTGGGTCTGGACAGCATCCTAAGAACAGCAGCTCCATGGAGAATTCCCCAGGCTCTTCAAACTTTAACAGAGCACAAGTCAAAATACCTGTACAGACACTTGCTCCTCCTTAAAATGCCACAGCCGGCTTTTAGCATTTTGGCAATCAGATGACAGAGTAAACAGCTCAGCTTCGGCCAGGAGCAACTGCTTCCTACATCGTGAATAGTTCAAAAGCAGCTCATAAAACTCATGCCTGTCCTGATGAGCCATGCTGTCAAACTCTTCTAAATATGACTCAATATTCTCCAGCCATGAACCAGGCTCCAAGACCTTCAGCTGTTCTTTAGTAAATGGTATTAGTTCTGGTTGAGATGGGAGTTCTGGGTAGAGTCGCTCGTTACAGAGCAAGGGTTTCACAGCCACAAAAGATTGTACATCTGCAATTTCTGCTGGCAACTGAGGATACAGTTTCTTCACTTTAAGGGACTGAGAATTTTCTTTGGCTTCATAAGAACACTGCAAGCCAATGTTTTGAAGTATTTCTGAAGAAAAAGTCAGGGCTTCTTTCCTATTTTGAGTTTCTCCAACTTGTAAATTTTCCATTTCCTGCTGAGTACAGGAAAAATCAGATAGTAGTGTGCTTTCTGAAGATCTACATTGTACCAAGATGTTTTCTTCTCCTTCTAGAAAGTTCTTGGGGGTTTCAATTTTATTGCCCATGTTGAAGCCAGAGTTCACCTCTGACATGATCTCAGCAACCCCTACAGAGGCTTTGATTTCTTCTTCTTCTTTTAGGGGTCCTGGGTGACATGTCAGACAACCATCATTGTCTATGGTCAGGGAGGTGAGTGGTATATCAAGCATTTCACTTTCATTGTGTCCACTGACATCACTCTGGAGCTGGGAATCACTCAAGATCTTCAGATGGTCTCCTTTCAATTCACAAGCCAGAGGAAGAATTTCCTGCTCTTTGGTGGTTTTTGGAAGGGAGATTTCAGACTCTTCTGTCCGAAGGGTTTCATATTTCTTCTTTTCCTAACAACAAAATTTGATATGAAATCATGTAATAGTAATTAATGCTTTCAGCATAAGGAAGTTTTAAACAGTACATGAAACCTAAATCTTATCATTTAACAAATGGAATATAAATGCACTTTATAAACAATATGTTTCATATTCAATATTATCCAACTTTGATAATCCAATTCTGATTAATTCAAGGCTCAATTTGGATATTCATTAGTCTAATTCGAAAAGAAAAAAGTATCACAGCAGCAAACTATGATCCAAAACTGGGAAAGTCTTAACTAAATTTTCCATCGTTTTGCTACAGGTTAACAGAACAGCTAGCTACTTAGGCTATCAGAGGTTTGTCTTCATCTTGACTAACATATTTACTCCAAGTTCAAGGAAAAAAGACTGGGCAAATTTGAGCACCAAAAATAGCTAGAGCATTAGATTATAACCTACAAAATAAAATAAATATGCCCGACCCCACAGTAATGACCAGTTACCTGACATTATTTTTTAAAATGCATGGGAGGGGCTGGTGAGATGGCTCAGTGGTCTAAAGCACCTACTTAGAACAAGCTAAGCTAAGCAAAGTACAGGGACTGCGTGGTTCAGCCTGCCCCGCCCCCTGGTGGGCTGAGCTGGCCACACACACACAAAATAAATAAATAAACAAATTTTTTTTTTAAAAAGAATATTAAAAAAAAATAAAATGCATGGGAGTTAAGAATAGTGGCACATGGGGCTGGGGAGATGGCTCAGTGGAATAAGCGCTTCTCTGGAGAACACAAGGGCCTGAGTTCAATCCCCAGTTCCACCAAAAAAAAAAAAAAAAAAAAAAGAATAGTGGCACAGACTTAGGATTCCCAATCTCTGGGAGGCTAAGGAAGAAGGACCCAAAGTTCAGTCCCCACCTGGACAATGTAGCAACTCAGTGAACAGAAAAGGGGTCTTAAGAGAACTTTTGAAAATCAAATATGGGCTGTCAATGAGTATGCATATGACAAATTAATGGCTCTTAGGAAGCACAAAAAGAGCTAATTAACATAATAAACTATCCCTCCAACTTCCCAACCATTCCTGTCAGGGAAAGACTAGAACAGAAATCAGGCAGGGAGCAGAGACTGGGAATTTGAAGATATTTCAATTTCTATTATCAGCTTTCCAGGACACATTTCAGTTCATCCTTAGCAAACACTGGATGGTCTTACTGTTGTAGGCAGCCGAGTTACATAGAAATATTCTAGGCAGTCAGACAGGGTCAGGCCCCCAAGGAGACAAGATGGAAGACAAGGTGATTTTACAACTTGGAAAAGACAGACACTCCCATATGGGTCACGCCTGAAGAACAAGACAAAAAGAAGAAGCACAAGACAAAAAGAAGCACAGCTACATACTTCCCTAGGGATGGGAATCAGGGATTGATATCTTAAATAGGTATCAATCACCTTGAAAGAGCCCAAATGAGTCACTAGTCCAACCCCCAACAGAAAGAGACCCTGTCCTATATGCATGTCCACTTGCTACATGACTTACTTTCCCATTTGATACTGGATTTAATCAATTTTACTTGAGCAATGGTGCTTGTTTTGTTTTTTTTTTTTAACTTTTTTTTTTAATTTTTTTTAATTTGTGTGTGTGTGTGTGTGTGTGTGTGGGGCCAGCTCAGCCCATCAGGGGGCGGGGCTGGCTGGCATGTGGTGCTGGGGGATTGAACCGCGGTCCCTGTGCTTTGCTAAGCTTGTTCTAAGTAGGTGCTTTAGACCACTGAGCCATCTCACCAGCCCCAGCAATGGTGCTTGTAATCTCATTGGTTGAAAATTGTTTTGTTTCACCTCATGCCCAACTAAGCAAGTTCCCATGTCTTCTCCACCACCTTAGACCTGCCTCACCACATGGTTTTCCTCTATAAAAGTCCCTGGAAGAGACAACTTCCTGGGAGAACTACCCGCTCAGCACCCCCCTCCTGTCCCTCTCTCGGGACAGGAGCTTTCTTTCTCTCAATAAATATATTCTGCTCATAACCTCCATTTGTTCCTAAAATTCATTCTTCAGTTTTAGAGAACACGAACTCATGCAGGTCAGGTGCATAGATCATTTTTCCCTATGTCATTTGGCTCCCTGTATCATTACTACTATTAAGCTATTGGTATTTAGTGTTTAATATTAACTATAAAAAATACTTTCTATGATTACAAATTTCTCTACTTTTACAAAGTTCAAATCTAAGAACATGCTGTTCCTAACAGGACACCGTGGCAGTGCACACATGTAATCCCAACACTGTGAGACCCTCAGTGTTTCAAAAAGAAAAAAAGATGTTCTTAACTCAGTTTGCCAAGATCAATGAAAAAAGATCCTCAACATTGGGAAGTATTTTAGCAAAGAATGATACTAAAAAAATGAAAATATTAGACTATCTCAAATACCAGGGAATGATTACCAGATACCTAGTTGTGGATGACCTAGTAACATGAACTCACCTAGCAGATGACTAAGAGGAATGTAGGCTAGCTGCTGGATAAAATCCACAAGCCACTCAGAGCACATGACACTATCCACTTCCTGAAAAGAGCCTTAGAACTACTTTATGGCTGTCTAAATAGCCATAATTACACTATAAATCATATCACAAATACTAAAGGTTTGGCCAAGCCACAGCCATCATTGAGAAATGTATCTGTTTACTCTAAAAAAATTAGTTTTTTTAAATTGACAAATATAAGGGCCTAGGGGCCGGGAGATGGCTCAGTAGAATAAGCGTTTGCCTGGCAAGCACAAGGGCCTGAGTTCAATCCCCGGTTCCACCAAAAAAAAAAAAAAAAAAGGGCCTTGCATGGACTTCTATTTTTTCATACTTGTAAGAGAAAATTTATCAAGAGTATATTTTAAGTAACAAAGCTTGGAAATATGCTTCAATACACTGACATTTAGTTCTCCATTCAAAAAACACTATCAACTGACTACAGGAGCTAGAAATGGTACTGGAAACAAGACAGTACCACCCTCCAACTCACAATCTAAGGAAGAAAAAGAAATGTTGGCAAAGTAACTACAAGTTAGATAAGGAACACAAGGCCAAGCATAGAGGAGGGAACAGCACAAGGTTGATAAGGAAAAGTTTCTAGGTCTAAATGTTGTAGGCAGCTAAATTAGATAAAAACATTATTGGCAGTCAGACAGGGCTGGGCCCACAAGGAAACAATATGGAAGACAAGGTAACTGCAATAGAGAGACACTGTTGTAGGCCAGACTTCAAGAGTAAACAAATGCAGCCACATTCTTCCCTAGGGATGGGCATCAGGGGTTGATATTCTAAGTAGGTATCAAACGTCTTGAAAGAGCTGAGTCACTAACCTAACCCCCAACAGGAGACCCTGTCCCTATTCAGGCCCACTTGCTATGTGAATCACTTCCCTTCCCCCATTTGATTCTAATTTAATCAATTTTACCTGAGCAATGGTGCTTGTAAATGATAGGTTCAGGCCCTAGTATAAATTGCTAAAATCATTATGGTGGTCATCTAATACAGCCAATGCCCTCAAACAAAAGCTCATCTTCCCCAAGATCACCTCCCCCTTCTTCTCCAACTCAGTCCAGTATATGAATTCCTTCCATCCTTCCTGCCATCTCAGCTCCCAATCAGCTCCTCAGGTATATATAGACATCCCCTTCAAACCCCACCCCAGCAAAAGGCCATAAAAGCCTCAGTCTCCCTTTGTTGCAATAGAGAGAATTTATCTTCCCCAAACTCTTTCCAGGTCCTCAAAGAAAGCCCCTATCCCTTCTTCCTTGTGCTTGTTTCTCTGCTGTGCCCCCGAATACTTGAAAAGACCTATCAGTAATCTCCTCAGTTGACCATAGTTTTATCCCACCTCATGCCCACCTAAGCAAGTTCCTATGTTTTCTACCTTGAAACCCCCATACCACATAGTTGTACTCTTATAAATATTCCTGGAAGAGACAGCTTTCTGAGTAACCGGCTCAGGTCCCCCTTCTGTCCCTCTCTCAGACAGGAGCTTTTTTCCCCAAATAAATATATTCTGCTGTTAACCTCCATTTGTTCCTAAAATTCATTCTTCGGTTTTAGAGAACACAAACTCAGCTGGGTACCTTTCACACTGGGAATTCCACTCCCCTATATCATAAGCATTGCTTAAACTAAAAAAATACATGAAAAAAAAAAAAAAAAAAAAACAGGGCCAGGGAGATGGCTCAGTGGAGTGACTAAAAAAAAAAAAAAAAAAAAAAAAAAAAAAAAAACAGGGCCGGGGAGATGGCGCAGTGGAATGAGTGCTTCCCTGGCAAGCACAAGGGCCTGAGTTCAACCCTCGGTTCCGCAAAAAAATAAATAAATAAATATTTTTAAAAAATACATGCGCAGTCAGCAGCTAGATGAAGAGGGGCTATTAGAGGAGTTAGGGCACACTAAACGTGCAAAGGCCTTGAAGCAGAAAAAGCATACCAGTGATAGTGAACCTTTTAGAGCTTTCAATGATACAAATAGTCCACTGCAGCATGGCATGTCATAGGACTGCCACCACTAACACAGAGTCAAAAGAAGAGTGATGACAAAACTAAGCTGAGGAGGGTGAGGCCAGATCCTTAATTACTCCTTCGAACTCCAGCCTCTGGGAAAGGAGGAGAATGAACAGTAAAAATGAATGTGAAGAAGCCAGCTCAACAGAATCACAAGAATCTCTCCTAGAGGGAGGTCATGGTAGCTACAATGGACAAAACTGGAAAGAATTAAAATATTTAGGAAATAAAATTGGCAAGATTCAGTGACTGGATTTGGAGAGTAAGAAAAAATTGCATTAAAGATCTCTAGTTTGGGCTGGGGAGACAGCTCAGGGGTCTAAGCACCTGCCTGGCAAGTGCAAAGTCCTTGTGTTCAATCACCAATGCCATGTGCCCACGTGCTAGACCCAAAATGGGGCATGGTGCACACCTGTAATCCCAGAGCTGTGGAGGCTGAGACAGGAGGATTACTTCAAGTCCGAGCTGCACAGTTAGACCCTGTA